GCACTCCATCTGTAAATATTTAGGTTGTTTTTTCAAATCACAAAATCTTCCATGTATAGGAAATACTACGTGTTATTATAAAGAGCACTCAAGGTTGAGCTTCCTTTTTGAGACACGCCAGGCACTTCCACTACGGCATCTTTGGTCAGTAGCATTTGAGTTAGACTATGTAATATGAACAACGACCTGTAGAGTCACCGGTGATACCAGTATTTTTTACACCGTAAACGTGACTTGCACCAGTTAACTACCACCGAAGGGATGAAAAGAATTGTTGGTCCGGACGAGATCCGATGCGGTATTAGGCTCGGAGATGTGCACGCGAATCACCTCGAAATTTCGAACTCAGAACTGTACTCGTGTTGGCTGTGGCTGCATCAAATTCTTTCTCTCTTCTATTTCTTAAGCATGAAATGGAAGGGAACCGGGCCTTAGGTGAACCTTCTTTTCTGAACACTTATCAAACTGCTGTTTGTTTCTTACCCACTGTTTATCAAAGTTACAGTGAAGGGTTAAACGAGAAGAAATTAATAAGACACAAACTTCAGCGAGAATCAATGAACTCTGCAACACTGGGCGATTTTTTTGGAATGCAGCGTCGCCCAAATCCTCCTATTATCCGTTAACATGGGTGTCGGTTTGTGGGAAGGGAGGTCCTGGCGATGATTTCAATCTGGTTCACAAAAAAATAAACACACCTCGCCATTACGAAGAATATATGGTGGTGGATTAGGTGAATCTCTTATGCCAAAGACTGTCGAATCTTGTTCAGAAGCCACTCTACTTCTTGATCCGAGCTATTCTAAATGTGTGCAAATTTAATTCGAATGAGCTCTATAGCAAATATTTCGGAATGTAATATCACATACGAGAAGTGGTAGGTTTTTTCCTTGATTTGTGTTTGTAGCTGATCCTCCCCCTGCTTTCAAACTTTTGCCATTGTTGTTAGCAGGACCAGCAATCTAAAGAAATGGTTGAGAAAAAAGTTGAAGTCGTGTGAAAATAATATGAATTTGCAGTTTTTTTGCTTTTCTATGCTTCCACACAAAAACTTCATTCCCAGCCCAGCAACGTTACAAGACAAATGACACAAAAGCGATCGGAACTTAACTTGAGAAACCCCGTCTTATCTCCACACGAAGAGCCGCTATTATTATTATTACTCAACTTCAGCGATGTTAATAAAAAAGAATTTCCTACGTAAATGATAAGACTTTAGGTGTAGGAAGATCATGGTCAGCAAGTGTGTGCGCATGGTACTGCGGAGTAAGTCACACTCAGGCATGAGTGGGTAGCAAGCAGGGATCAGCCAATCCTGTGCAATTTAGGGGGAGGATCGTGTTGACGCATAAAAGAGGGTGATAAGCCTCCAGTGGCGAGAGGCGTAGCGGTCTCTTCAGCGCCAAGACCCCAGGCTCCATGGGAAGCTAACCGGCGGCGCGGACGCGTCGCGTGTTTTAAGGTCACAGCAACGGCGAGGGAACGAGCATGGGTAGCTCACCCAGCAACGCTTCAACACGTTAAGTGCTCCAAGCACCTTCCACGCTCTTTCTTCACCTTATAACAGATTAAAGTAAGTAAAAATCGAACTTGAAGAACGGACTTGATACAACCAACTTCAATTTGACCGTGAACTCCTAAGAGTGCGCGTAAAAACGTGGACTTCCTCCATACAATTTTCAAATAATTCCAGTTCCTTGTGCGAGGATAATACCTGTGCATAGCCCAGTCATTTCGCTCGCCGGATTGAATAGAAAGGTACATCGCCAGAAACCTAACACTATTCGAGCGGAGTGGCACCCACTGCTTGCCCTCCCTTCAAGCTCCTCGCAGCCATGACTCATTTTCAGCACGTAACCAGCACGCGCTGCGTCCACGTCGCAGGTGAGCTTTTCCCTCCCTCCGAGACTCCAAGCACATTATGACTAATCCAATTAAATGAATGAAAATGAGCTTTTCAAATACTGTACTGCTGAATGTTTCTCGTCATTAAGCAATTATTGCCTTGAGCAACTTAGAGAGATTCGATATGATGTGCTCAATAAGTCGAAAGCTTGCAAAGCTGCTTTTTTGTTTTGGGGAAATGTTCATAGACTTCAAAAAATGCAATATAATGGCCGCCCCATAATTACTCCTACGCTACCGAATCCGCGAGTTTTGCTACTTTGTAATCAAAGAGGTACATCGGGAATGTTAGAGCTTTCCCTTGACATCTGTTTCCTCTTCTTCAGTGACACAAGAGGTGCTGCAGAGGAGCGACCGTATCACATTGTGGACTGACTGCGGTGAATGATGATCAATGAATAATCTTGTGGGTGGTTGAATTAGCCGTTTGTTTCTTCTACCCAAAACCCTTGTTTGCAGTTTTTCTGCGAGTAGGCATATTGACAAACGTGCAGAATCAAATGGGAGTACAGTCACCGCTAACTTACCGTAAGAGGGCTGCCAGGTCCAAGCACGGCGTTGTCTCCGTCGTGTATCGCAGAGCCGAAGATGACGAGAAGGCAAATGAAATACAACATGATTGCTGGTTGACCTGCATGCCAGTACATCGTTTATATTGGTATAAACAGCGAATTTAGAGCGATTTTCCACGTGTTAAAATCTATTTCACGAATTGTTGTTATGTTCGTATTCGGATCCAAAATTACGATTATCACACATGGACGATGTACATTAAACGCTTTGACGACAGCCGTATGCCGCCACTTTTGCATGGACACTGTGGCAACTATGTATGCCACACCAGTTACATTTGTTTTTTTGCGCACATGCTCGATTTCTTTCTAGGTTTTGTGTGTTCATTATAGGTTATAATGTCATACATAGGGCGGAAGTGGTGTAGTGGCAAGTGGCACGCTTACCACGCGAGCGGTCCGGGGATCAAATCCTGGGTCGTGAGTCGCCCGGGCCAACCAAGCCTTCCATCCCTCCGGGGTCGGTTAATTGGTACCAGACTTGTCTGGGAGGATAAAAACACTGACTTGTACATCGGCTGGCCCCCGCAAGTCATTGTATAGGCCACATCGCATTCAAACGCCACTACGAATGTACAAATGGAAGTAGAATGCGTGCCGCATCCCAAAAAGGGATTGATCAACGGCAAATGCTTTATCCTTTATCCTTTAATGTCATACATCAACATAACCAAGAACAACGTGGGTTACAGAATGACCAAATATTCCTAAGTTTGGTAGAGGTTTCCGACCTGACGAAAATATCCGTTCAATTCATTCCTCATTTTCTTCTCATTAACGCGAACATGTGAATAAAAAAGGATAACAGAAGTGAAAACAAATCTAGTCGTATGGCGAAATTTGTTTTTTTACT